GGATGTTCGGATCTGTTGTTCAGGGGTGGGGGGAGAGCAATAATGGGTGGAGGAATGTTGTGAACAAGGGGAAGCAACACCATATATGCACATATATATATGTGAGTTGAAAACGTCTGGTTCAATTAACCATGGGTAAGTATATTGTATGAACAGAGTCAATGTTTCGGGGTGGGGGGAGAGCAATAATGGGTGGAGGAATGTTGTGAACAAGGGGAAGCAACACCATATATGCATGGGATTTTTTTCCCCTTCTTCTTTTGTTTTTAAAATTGTCTTAGGTCTATGCTATGGCTTACATTAAAATTTTCCAGATGGTTCCTACCTCAGAATTACAAGAATCTCTGTGGCAGTTGTGGAAGCTGCAAAACAGAGGTTTGGGCATCATGTGTGAATGAGTAGCTAGCTCACCTGTGGTTCAGGGAATAGCAATTACAGCCAGCTAGTTCGAGATGGCCCTCTACCCAGCCCATTACCAAGTTTTTTCAGTTAAAACAACATTATTAAGATACAGAGTAAAATGTTAGTCACTATTCTACCCAATCAGTAGCTTGTTTTGACTCATAGCATCTATGATTAACATTTCCAGAAAAATGCTAACTAAATGTAGAGTGACCACTTGTCTGCAAATGAGTCTCCCTGGTTCATTTTGAATCCATGTCTGCTTTGGCAAAGCTGAATAAGAAGCACACTCAGAACAACAGTTATCATCAACTTCTTTTCCAGTACCATAGTAGACTGGAGATGGTACAACCTTGTCTACTGCTCATTACAGCACTGTTACTCTGTAACACCAGAAAGGATGCTGGTGGCCATGGTTGTTTTACCCCTCATCAGCTTTCTGCTGCTCAACATGCTCTAAAGTATATGAAATAAAGACACGGCAGGTATCTCCTTTGTGAGCGTGTCCTCTAGCCTCATTCCGAGCTAACATATTTCTTACAACATGCAATTTGAAAATGTACTGATTGGAAGAATTTGCAGAATATCTTTCACCAAATATTTGAAAATTGGCATGCATGCATCATAAGAGCAATTGGCATATATGCAACATACAGCATCTTGGGCCCAGGTTGACTGCGCTCTACTACAAGTTCAAACTATGCTGGATATAGCATAGCAAACATAAGGCAAAATGCCCCTGTTCCTTATATTCAGATTAAAAAAAAACCTCTTTGCTTAATTTTTATATTAAGTTTATATTTTAACACTAAACTAAAACCCAGATACAGATTTGTGGTAAAGCTCTTCAAAGACTAATCAGAATCTAATGAGGGCATTTACCTCATTGAGCCCAACCCCCTTCCGAGATGGTTGGCTGTCTAGCCTTTGCCTGAACGCATCCAGACCCACCAACACTCTGGATAATTGGTTCTACTGTTGAACTGCTCTTAGTGTTACAAAGCTTTTTCTATCATTCAATTGGCATCTCCCTTTCTATAGTTTAAATCTATTATTCCATGTCCTGCACTCTGAAACAAGAGAGGTCTTGTAAAGTGTTTTTGGTGGTATTAGCTATCTGATCAATTTTGTGCCATTTGCAAATTTGATAAGCATTCCCTGTATCTCTTCATTCAACTCATCAGTGAATATATTGATGAGTAGAGGATGCAGGACTGATCCTTGTGACACCCCACTTCATACCTCTTTTCAATATGATGAGGAATCACTAATGAACTGTTTTTGAGTATAATTTTGAGTCAGCTCTTGTCAGCATTTACCCCACACATGGCAATAAATCTTCCTATAGGAATGCAAACATACACTTATGAGCTTAGCAGTGAAAGATTCAAGGATGAGTCTCAGGGCTTATCTATATATCCCTGAGTATATACTTTCTTCCCATCCTCAAGCCAGAAGAAAAGTATATTACTCTGAAGAACACTGCCCCCTCCCCAATTCATCTTACTATATCCCCAGAACAAGATCAGCAGAGTTGCTGCCTTCTGATAATTACCACACAGTTTGCAAAGTGCTAACTGATAGACCCCTTTATGATGTGCTCTGGAATCTTTTCAGATATTAATATCAGACTGACTGGTCTGTAATTATCTGGATCTTCCCATTTCGCTTTTGGAAGATAGGAATGATGTCTGCTCTTCTCCAGTCATCTGGCACTCCACCAGTTCTCCAGGAATTATCCAAGATATTGCAAAAGAGAGGCCATCAGCTAGGTTCCTTCAGTATCCTAAGATGCAATTAATCTTGTCCTGACTCATTCATTCAACTCATTCAAAGTAAATAGGTATTCCCTGACCATGACAGGTCTCATTTTATCAGTCTCAGGTTTCAATCTTGTTCCTTCATCTTGCTCTTTACAGTTTCCTGGTGGAATACACACATTTCTGTGGTTCTGTGTTTTCTTTGTTATCTAGCATTCTACCCTCTTTATTGAGCAGCTGTATACTGATTCTTTTCTTTTTATTCTGAACGCATCTAAATAAGTGTTTGTTGTTATTCTTAGTATCTTTTGATAAATTCAGCTTATTCTAAGCTTTCATTTTCTTAACACCAGCACTATAGTTCCAGGCCATCTATCTGTGCTTTTCCTTTGTGACTTGGCTCTCTTTCCATTTCCTGTACATGTCCTTTGTTGTTGTACTTTTCAGATAAGTGTTTTTTGTAGCCACATTAGCTTCTTCTACTGTCCTCCTTTTTTTTTTTCCTCATTGCAATTTTTTGTAATTGTTCTTTTCGTATCTCCTGTTTTTTA